CATAATTAGCACTAGCAATTATGATAAGCTTGGGGCAAATTATATGGTAAACACTTGATGTAATGACCCCCGGCAATTTCCATATCGTGATGTTAAGACATGATGACATGTAAGTTTTCAAACTGAATTCGAAACAGAAACCGAGTGTCACCATGTACCATCTTTGCCTGACCTTGTTTTCATGTTGCCCAGTGTAAGGCTTTAAACACTTGCATGTATGTCAATATTCACCACTCAGGCTACAGAATTACATGTTCTACATATCAAAACTACATAGAACTCTGGAACTCTGTAATTCTGTGTTAACAGCTGTGGAAAGTTATTTTTGAAGAGAGAACGAAATAAATCATATCCACCATGTGCACACAGTAATAGAATATTAAGTGTCCATGTCCCTCACACAAGCCCCCCCCCCTTCCAAAGCACTTTGAGGTCACAGACTTTCTCCTTTAAATAACTGGAACGTCATCATAAAAGGGCTGAATTGTATGTGCATGTTCATTAGTGGCATACAGATAGAAAATATCTCCCCAAAGAAAAAAAAATCTTATTGATTATATTCACTACATCCTATGGGTATACACTGGCTTGCTATTTATTTTTAGCACATGAATGCCAGAGTGAAACTAAATTATCTGGCTAACCATTATTTACTTGTGTACACCTTTTATCAGTCACACAGATTGTGATTGTTCTCTCTTCTCAAAGTCATACAAAGTAAAATATTTTGTGTCAAGGGTTTCGGGTCAAGTGAGATGAATGCACAGGGTTGGTGGGATGGAAAAACATTACATCACATATTTTTGTCACAAAAACATGCTTCCATTTTTCTTAAGTCATCATTTGATATTTGCCTTATTTTGATTTTTTTATGGATAAACATCTAAAAAAAAGTCTTCAGAAAATATTGATGCAATTTTCAAGATAATAAAATGGTATGACTCGTTTTTTAAGCAAGGCATTTAAAATTTTGGAAACAAATATGTATAATGTATAACAACTTTCCTGGAAAATGACAGTTTTTTCTCCTTTATACATCAAGGTTTTCCCCATCCTGACTTTGAATTATAAATGCATATTCTTTTAATAGTCTCTCCGCCTCTCACACGCCTTCCCAAGCGTCGTCCCTGCGGGGGTACAGTCATTAAATCTTGCCTCATTTGGGACGACACATGGGGAGGCATGTGAGAGGCCGAGAGACTATTAAAAGATTAGGCGGTTTTCCTTTCATGTACGTCCGTCATATTTAGGTTGTGGCTTTGTAGAGCCATGGCTCAACTCGATGTGAATGCGGCCATTATCAGTCTACGTAGATCCATCCAACTCTGTTGGGACTCCTGCTGAGTGCAATCACCTTAACCAAAACTGACATGCCTCCTCTTGTTTCTAACATGTCAAAAGTCACCAGCTTTTTCATATTCTATGCAATGTTGCGAGAAGGCGCACCACTCACTTTCACTGACTGCACTCAGCAAGAGTCCCCACATAGTCTGTTTGATCTACCTAGATCTATAGACTGATGATATGTTAATATAGATGGGAATGGGTCCTAAGGCATTGGCAACTTTTTTCATATTTAATGGATTGTCATTTTCTGTATGTTTTTGGATATATAGCATATTATCTTGGCAGTCGAGGAAAGAGAGATGAAATTACCAAGAAAAATATATGTTTGCTATATGAAGGTATTTTGCCCTTGTATAATTTAACCTGTACCTATTGTTTGCTGTGGAGTATAACTACACAAAAAAGAGTGGAAAACAAATGGCATGCACCAATTTCAAGACATCTTAAAAGCTGTACCAGCTGCTACAAGTTGTGATCACCCTGTTTATATTATAAAATCACAGGTTATACCTGTACACTATTGCTACTAAATGTAAACTAGGAGGAATTGGTTCTGATACTACTAGTAAGTAAAGACAGAATCATAGTGGTGGCAATTCTAAATCTTAATGTCTAATATGACATGATCTTGATTACTAATTTAACCACAAAATCACAATTTATATCCATAGAAAGCCAGTGGCATCCTTACTGGAGGAAATAACGCTGTATAAAATATCTAAACAGTCATTAAGAATGTTTCCTCATGTTCACCATTTTCAGAGTATATCAGCTTGATTCAAGGAAAAGATATATCAGCTTGATTCAAGGAAAAGCTGCTCCCAAGTTTACTTTCATCATTTAATCTAATTTCACATTTTTTTGTCATAGCCAAAGTACACACACACACACACACATTATTAAGTTATTTGTAACAATAACAAAGAGATCCACTGCACCAAGTTCTGATTCTGATGTGATATGCATAAACGAAAAGGTTAAATACTGCTACCTCCTTTAAAACAACTTAGGATGCATTCCCAGAGATTTAGATCGATCCAGAGATTTAGATTTAGATCAACCTAACTCCCTGGGGGTTCACGCTAAATTGCAGTCAGCTGAGCGCGCACAACAGTTAATTACCCCCTTACAGCTTTTAGTAGGCTGGACAGACGCTTAAGCTGGGTAAGCTGACAGTAATCTATAAGCTGACAGTAATCTAGTGAGACTCCCCACAGGGATAGATCGATCTAAAATCTGTGGGAATGGAGTCTAACCCTGCAGGGACTCTTGCTAAATGAAATCAGATTTACATGCCTCCTGCTGTTTCCAACATATTCATATAATCATCAGCTTTTCTGTATTCTACTCAATGCCAGGAGGCATGTAAAATCTGTTGCATTCTGCAACAGTCCCTGAGGCGTTAGTTTGAACTACCTAGTCAGAATAGTTCCATTGTGAATGAACCCTAAGATAGAGTAAATGGGTATATGTACAACTAACATTTACTGAGGAAATTGTATAAAAATAATGTAATGGTACAGAGTGAAGACTGATAAAATTCTGAGAACTGGAAATAAATGGGAATCTGATATATATTCTTGGCAATACACAGAAAACAGATTTTAAGTATTCTATTCTCTTTGTCTACTCTCTTTGACGCACTTAAAAAGATCCATGATTCACCCACTTTGTAAAAAGTAAGCCCTGGAGTATGCAACCTCATTTTCTTACATGAAAAATACTAATAAATCAAAGCCTTTTTCACATTTAACCTTATATATGAAGCGAGCACCTGCTGGGGCAGTGCACAGATGCACTAGTTACCAGTATTTCAGTACTGTGAACAAAAGACATTAAAACAAAGTAAAATTTTCATGGACGGTACAAAATTATAGAAGTTGGTAAAAATAGTAAAAGACCTGTATTTTTTATGAAACTTAGCCTTTAAAATTGCTCACTATGGGTTTACATATATACAATCTTTTTTTTTTCATTTCAGTAGCTTTTTATATAATGAAACAAAATAAATACAACAATGTTATCATCATAACTTGAGTATATCATAACATAAACAGTACTTAACAAGCGAATTGTTGAGCTCAAAGTGCAATATTTGTAAACTCTCTTGACTAAACTTTTACTAGTAAATTAAATAATAGAAGAATAAAACACATTATATCACAAACCAATGTCTGAGTTTCTGCCTAGTGACATCTTTTCAAATTTATTATTATTATTATTATTAGTAGTAGTAGTAGTAGTAGTAGTAGTAGTAGTAGTAGTTATTGTTTAAATAATCTGGCAACCCAAGAAGTGATGGTCATGGATAAATGCACTGACTTAGGACGCATTCAGATTCATGCAGCATACTACCTGGGTCAGTCCAACTCTGTGGGGGATTATTGCTAAATGGAATCAGTTGAATCAGCTAAATCAGCCTGCAATAGTTTATCATCCCTTACTGCTCAAGGAGGCACGTCAGACAATGTAAGTGGATTTCACTGGACAGTTAATTTTACCCAATTTGGACCTAGTGCCCAATCACTTGACTTAAGGTAACATTGCTTTTTTTTTTCAAGGAAAATTCAAATTTATGGTTGGAAAATCTCGTAACTCTGTTTTCGGCCTTTCACACTAATAAGTTTTTCTGTAGTGGACCACTAAACAAAAACAACTGAAAACATAAGCTAGCTATTGGCACTTTAGCAGTATTCCCCTCCAACATATAACTGTCTGATATTCTGTATCTTCTAAATTAATTTGTGTGGTGACTTTGAACAGTCTCTTCTATTAAATAAATCAGTTTGACAATCTATTCAATAGTTAAATGTTTTACATGTAACTTATGCTTAGGCTGTTATCTCATGGGTCAAAGAGCTTGAAGGTTTAATGAAACTTTTAAGAAATTATTCAGTAAATTTCAAAATTAATTTATCTGAATAGCAGATGATTACAGTCGCCGTATAACTAAACTCTTGATTTTATATTTAACATTAAATTAGAGATTATAGGCTGTTTAACTTTAGTACCCCATTGTTTTTATTTAATGTCGAAAGTAGTACGAAGTTCTACTCTTCAATGTCAACTTTCAATTTCAGTCCTTTTGTGACTCTAGACCCTCGGCCTGGAAGATAAAACTGAAAGATTCTTCAAAAGTAAGTCTAACTCGTTCCCACTGACTTACCGACTTGCGTCTTTATCGTAGGATCTTCCAAGATGTCATATCTCTCCAGCTGTTGAATATAGTCGAACAAAGTGGCGATCATACTGTCTTTTTGCTTTTCCCAATCCTTGAGTATGAGTAAAGTATAGCTATCCCTCATGGATTCAAAGTTACTGATATCATCGTTCATAAATCCCATCAGTTCAGCGAGGCCCTTCCAGTCTTTTGAAAACCCCGAGTCGGTGAGAACAACGCTAGGGGGGTTTAGTAACCGAGCGAGAATGTTTCGGACAGACCGGTTTAAAGCTCTCACGGGCACTTCTCTATATTCGCTGTACCAAGGTGGACCGGCTACATCCATTCCGGACGCCATTTGAAGGTCTAATTACCTCACCACCTTGCTCCAGTGAACGGTTTCTGTCCCACAGGAAGACAAATGTATGGTCGACCTCACTTACGTTTTGACCTGCTAGTTGTACTTCCTTGTATCCTGTGCCGTCAAGCGGCTAGTTTGACTTTTACGACATCAACACAAACAAACATGGAGGGGGGGGGGGGGGAAGGAGGGGTTAGTTTCATGTAAGAATATAAGAATTGAACATCTGAGTTAGGTACGTTTGTTGATTAACAAGAATGAATTTTAATGAAATAAAAAAGGAGCAACTTTTGATTTATTCGGCATTTTCCCCCAAAAAAACTCGTTAATGATAATGTAACTGATTTTAGAAAATGAAATATTAGGGCCTAATTATGTTATATACAGATGTAGACCTAACTAGGTAAATACAGAAAAAATGAAGGGGTGGCATAAAATGATTTACATGTTATGCTCGCCAGATAGTCCCTGTGCGGTCCGTTTAAGTCGACTAGTATGACTAATATATATGTTATCGAGGGGGTAGATGCAGCGAGGATTCCAATGAACAATTCATTGTAAACAAGTATTGAATTCGGTGGAAGTGTCTCACATCGAGTCGAGAACTATAAAGGGGAAAAAAAGCACAATACAGTGACAATAGACCGTATCAAAAACAGCTAAATACAAACATACTCAGTAGGCCTACTATCACGACAGTAGCACCGAACGCAGGGCGGTATTGTGGTTAAAATACTGTAGCCTACTCAGTATATCTACCTCCTACTGTACTGTACATAGCTATACTCCCTCGAACCGCTGAATAACGTAGGCCTACGCTTAGAATAATTATTGTTTTCTAAAAAATCTAGTTACCCATGAAGATAAATGCATATATGAACACAATTAACAAATTTTGTTACAAATTGATTTTAATCAATTGATTTTAATTTAATAAAAAAAGAATATAATAAATACATACCGGCACTGGTATGTATTAGAAATAAAGAGTGAAATCAATTAAAGTAATTAAAAGAAATAAAAAAAACAAAGAAAGATTTAATAAATTCCAGAAGTTTGCCAGTCGGCTTTTGATACTGTTTGCTTGTTGCGCCAATAACTCCTTATAGTTGCCCTTGTTATAAAAACACCCTTAAGTTTGATTATTTGACTTTTGAATGTCTCAGATATCTGTGGTGCATGTGGTGAGTATTTGCCATTTGCCTTGATTATAGAAGGTAGCACGGTCTATGAGCAGGGCCATTGATCAGTTAATTGTTTTTGTATTTTACTCAATCACTGGAGATCTAGACTTCGCGTAGATCATGTAGCTAGCGAGCGTCATCAAATAAACCATTAAACTGGTCTTTATGTGGTTTTCTTTGAGCGACTTTACGTAAATCTGACACGAACCATGGAATTGCGGATTGCGTTTTGCCAATCACGTTAGATGCATTCCAGCATCAAATATCTCGGCATCATCGTACTCAATAGCCAGTTCAAGCATTCGCGCTGCGCGCCATTTTATGAGCTGCTGCCATTTACACTCCGCGCTAAAAAACCAGATTTCTCGGGTCGGGAATGCGAAACCCTGTATGGCCATGTAGGCCCCGAGATCGAGAACGAGAATTGTTCTCGTCGGGCTAGTTCTCGGGCCGGGATAGCGAACTTTCTGTGTGCATGTACTTATACGTGTTTCACAGCCAGATTGTTGTTTCGGGGCCGTATAGCGATAGTCCGAAGGTTCAATAGTCCGAAGGTTCATTTGTCCGAATGTTCACTATAGAACCTTCGGACCAATGAACCCTTGATTAAAAAATCGATGAAAATGTTACCACTTTTCGGACCAATGAACCTTCGGGCCAATGAACCTTCGGACTATCGAGACGCCCCCGTTGTTTCATGTTTGGGGTGCACGAATTTGCTCAATATTTGGCTGCCGTAAAAAACGATTTACTCTAAAATGAAATCAGAATAAAAGAATGACTTTTAGAAAGAGGGAAATGTATTCGTGTGCCCCCGTCCCCAAAAAGATAACTGTGCTTGGGCGTGGCTTATCTTGAGCGCCACCTATGGTTCGTTATGTCATTGCAGACGACAGAGCGAAAGCTTAGGATAAGAAACGCAAAATATCCAGAAAATATGTCCTCGGTAGATTTGGATAAAGTTATCAAGGATTTAGGTAATGTACTTTTAAATGGTAAAACTTAAAAGTTATTTAATCACAGAATCAGTGAATGTCCAATGTGTAGTTTGAGGGTACAGTATGTGCACTTTACATTCATATGTGGCACTTTTGTAGTTTTAGTATTTACCCCACGATATAACTTTTTTATTTTCAATATCATTTCTGAATTTATTTGTATGGTTACTTTGAGCAGTGGCTCTGCTATTCAAATAAATTAGTTTGGCGATTCATAAAAAAAAACATTTTAATCAATGTTTTTTCATGAAACTTGATACCAACCAAATTTGGTACTTTTGTAGTATACCCCCCCACCCTGTAACTTTATGTAATTTTCACTTTTCAAACAGTTTTTTACATTTTCTTGTTCATCTATGTCAAATCTGTTGAAATAAAATGCTTTTGTAATTACCTGTGGACTTTTTATTAGTTTTAATCACGTTTAATCCAGCCCATTGAAATACAATGTTAGAATCTTCAATTTACACCCGCAGTCAATAACTTGCCGCGTTTTCGTTGGCTAACTCTAAGGTAATTTTATGTGAGCAAGTAGCTCATAATAATTTCACAGAGGAAGTCCAAGTATACAATGTATCAATCCTATGTTCACATAAAATAAGGTAGAGTTAGCCAACGAAAACGCGGCAAGTTATTGACTGCAGGTACAATGTAAATTTTCACATTGTATTTCAATGGGGTGGATTAAACGTGATTAAAACTAATAAAAAGACCACAGGTAATTACAAAAACATTTTATTTCAACAGCTTTGACATAGGTGAAAAAGACAAAGTAAAAAAATGTTTGAAAAATGAAAGTTTCAGGAAGTTACAGGGTGGGGGGGTATACTACAAAAGTACCCCAAATTTTGTGAGAGCTGGGGCAGTCGCTGGGGTGAAAATTTTCTGTAATTTCATCGGTCAAAGTGCTTGATTGTTTAATAAAAAAGATAAAAAATGAGTACATTTTCAAAGTACAGTAAAATCATGTGAATAACAAATTAACTTACTGTAATGTCTGTAATTGAATATTAAGAATAAGGGAGTTATTCCAAAAGTACCATATTTCTTTACAATGATAAGCAATGGAAGTTGATTTTATACTTTAGTAAGGTCTGCACAGACTAATTTGAAAAAAAAATATAATAACAATATAGTATTAACCCCTTTACTAGTACCTATACCAGTAGTTAGTACACCACCGCCTATGCTAGACTGGCGGGGCCTTGGTCTAGGGATGTGGCTGTATTTTATTTTTTTAAAAAAAAAAAAAAAAAAAAATTATAATTAAAATAAAAAAAAAAATAATTTTTTTTTCCGAATTTTTAAAAAA